AGGAAAATCTCAGATATTTGCGTAGAGCTTAAATAATATTATAGTCAATATTTGTTATGAGCGTGAGTCTATGGAAAAATAATATTGTAATAAAAGTACTTTAGTAAAAAATAGTCGCTGGCTGAAAATAAATAACTATATCAAACGCGACAACCACAGATGTTTCCAAGCAGGTCGGTATCGACGTCGAATAATAAACAATTATTATAATTATTTAGTTTAACTAAACAAAACGGTTTATTTTATTGAATGTGTTACATTAATTATTTTTAAAAAACAATTTTTCTTTTTGCAACTTCGCGTCGCTACTTACTATTATAAGTATCCTCAAAAATGGGCTACAAGCGACGATGATCAGACAATGGAGATGATGACCGTATCAGAAAATAGTCGAGTATCCATTATTTCATTATGTCATAGGTAAGTACTTACGACCTGAAACGTAATTAAACGAAATTATTAGGTAAAATACGATTGAGAACAGTTATTGTACTTACGTACGGTTTAAAACTATATTTTTATAAATATTAAAAGACGATTTATAAGATTGAGAACGTTCTGTTTTTTTCCAATGTTTCCAAATTGAAATTAAATAATTGTTACCTATTAAAAGATAATTTAAGATTTTTTTTGAGATTATAATTATAATTAATAAACAATGACTTTTTTCAAGAATATTAATTTTATTACACAATTTATTTACTAATTTTACTCATTAATAAGTCAGTGAATCGTTCGATAAAAGATGATAACAGACCTATAACGCTATCAATCGTTGCATAGCCATAGTATAAATCAGATGATATTGATCAATGTACAAATAGTTATAGATCTACATATATTTATTTCTGAAAGTAATTTCGTTTTCGGAAACATAAATCAACAAAAAAAAACACTATTATTATCTTCGAATTTTATTTTTACTAGTAGGTAATATTATTTAATAGTATTAATGGTTTATTTTAAGATTTAAAAAAAGGTTTTGAATCTTTGAATCGCAATACATAGTTTGATTAAAGAATTAGATTTTTGGCATTCGTATTCTTTAAAATCATATCTTTCAAATAGATCGTAAATTATTAAAATCGAAGAATATATTAGTAATTCATTTAATGTGAATTTGGAATACCTCAAAGAACTGTCGTCTTGGGTGTTGTTATTTCTTATTCACACGAGTGGTTTTATTAAACTTAAAATTAAAGTAAATATTATTTTTATTACTGACTGCGATAAGTTGGTGTTAATTGAACATAAAAATGTTGATGAATATTGTAAAACTTAGTAAATTAGTATATCAATAATATAAAAGTTTGATTTGATAATAATTTTCTAGAAACTGAATGTTTAAAAAATCTAAATAGAATATATATTTTAAAAGATAATATGTAGAAATTTCGGTTGTACATATCAAAGCAGTCCAATTAATATCGGTGTTAAATTTATGTAAATATATTGAAAGAAATTTAAGAAATTTAAAATTATGTACCTGTTTAAATTCTTTTTAACTTCATGATTATTCTGTGTATTTTAGTTAAAATAATCAACAACAGTTTTATTATATTTTATTTCATAAGGATGTTATGAATTTATAAAATTTAATTTTGTTAGATATTTATTTTCATTTTTTGCTCTTTCATTATCTTCATATACATTTTATTCATAATTTTAAAAGTTTTATTCTGTATAAACATATATTTTTTAAATTGTTTTTGAACCCTCTCCCTCTTTCTGTAGCTCAAGCTTAGCTGTTAGTAATATTTATTTATTTATAATCGAAAACCAAAAGGAATGTATAAGTATATACCTAAATGTTATATATTTTCGGGAATTTGATATTTTAATTCATTAATGTTTTGTTAGAAGGTACTGTTTTTGATTTCAAATAAATTATTATTATTATAAATATACCAATATAGTGCTAACCTTATTTTTTTTTTAATTCATCACAATTATTAGAAATCAGGATTCGTTTTCTGCTTTAGGGGAGTACTATAAAGAGTAGTTTATTAAATATATTTTTATTAATAGTTAAACTGGTGGAAACTCAAAAAAAACTAATTAAATTAAAAAGTTTAAATTCAATTAATTGTTCAACTCATTAATGCCCATCGTAGTGTTCAAGTGTAATTAATAAACACTATGGACTATGCTTTCATTATTACAATGAGAAGATAGCTTTGGATTTAATAGGCAGGTATTATATTGTATAACTAGCTGATCCCTTGTACTTCGTTACCCGTTAAATGTACCAAATATAAACGACTCAAACTTATATAAATAATATATAATATAATAAATACAATATATGTATAAATAATTACATTAATTTTTCTAGCTTTATAAAAATAAAAATAAAAATAAATACAGATAAAAAAGAAAAAAATTATTGTTGATAAATAATTAATATAATAATTTTATAAGACTTCTGAGTATATGACGTTTTTTGTTTTATCTCGTGCAGAAGTATATCTCTGGGACCTTTATCTTCATTAACTAATAATACAGCTACTTCATCGATGGTAGGTGCATTATATTGACCTCTGAGTTCATCTTGAGGAACTCTGTCAGCATGAATAATTAACTTAATGTTTTGCAATTCATCAAAGGATTTCGACTCTATATTAGATCTAAAGCTCTGTATGAGGTGGTTATTTTTACGCAAAACTGTTTGCAATGATTCAATGAGACCTATTTTTAAATTTGGAATCATATTTGTTCGAATAGATATTTGATCCGACTCTGACATAAAATATATTTGTAAAAATTTAGCATTATTTCCAATTTCGTTTAATAAACTACCTATTAAATGATGCACTTGACCCTGAATTTTAAAAGTGGGCGTGAAGTTCCCTCCAGCTGGCAGCTATTTCGTTTGCTCCAAACGATGTCATTTGAAACAGAGTGTTATACCGTCTAGAATTATCAAAGAAATGTTTTGATAGAGGGTGAGAATTATCAATTAAACTTTTAATTAATTTTGGAAGATCCTCAAATTGCTGTAAAACCACTTTACCATCAGCGCAGCAAAGTCCATTGGTTTCATCTTTCCATTTTTTTGCATGGCACTTAGGACATAATATCGTCATTGGTCCTATTTGAAGTGCTTTAATATTTAAATAATCAATCTCGGATTGATAATTAAACACTGATTTCATACTCAAAGCGTAACGTTGCTCCTGTGCAAGTGTTTGAGAACGTTCTGTTGTGTTCTACATTCTGTTATATATTCGAGTATGTATGCTCTTGGCGCTCTTGGCATGATGATGAATTAGCCACTTACCTGAAATTTAACTCATAAGAAAAATAACAAAGTAAGCACAAATTATGCTCGTAATTGGCGTACACGTAATTCACGAAAAATAATAACTCAAATCAACAAACATGCCCGATTAACCAATAGCAACTATTATTATTTTAAACTGAAACAACAACAACTTTTTATTATTTGGATTATTTTTTTCTATACAGATTGCGCCACTGTTGTATTTTTGACATCCATATTGTAATAACGCAAAAATTAAAAGAATAAAATAAATTAAAAGAATAAAATAAAATTATTAAAAATCACCGTAAATGTTAATACGACGCCTGCCGACACTAATATTCAAGATGATCTAAATTTGCGTTAATACCTTCCTCCTGATCGTCGGAGGGTTCTCGAGATCGTGTGTTCGAGAATTTGATCAAATACACTTCTATGGTGTAGATGTAGATGCATGCACATATAATTTAATATAATGCAGTCAACAATACTATATTTTATATTTTAATATGTATTATGTCTTACCTGACTCGCAGCTGTCTCTGGGTTATGCAGTAGGAGTTTTAGGTGACACAAATTAATTATTTAAAATACTCGAATAAAAATAAAGAAACACACTGATTATTGCTCGTCAAAAGGAGTCCAGTTGTCGCTCGTAGAATTCGGTATAGAGAGGTTGTTAATCTGTTTGGTGGTGCGCCTGCACTCGTGAGAGGCTGTTTCACTCAAGAGAGGTGCTCATGCACTGCCGAAGGGACGATCCGGTTGTGCCGGCCAGAGAGTGATAGGCGGCTTCATCAAAAGGTTGTTTTGTACATCCGATTTCTCTTCTGTGACAAGGACCTTTTTTACCATACCTTTTCTCCGGCGGCATGTAAGAAAGCCACACGTCCTACGCTCTACAGTTGCAAACATAGGTACGTGTCGATTTCTTAATCCCTGATCGTATAATATAATTAGACAATTTTGTCTGTGACAATAATTTATTGGGGTCTAGAGATTTCCGATTTCTACTTGTGACAGTCCTGCCGTTATTTATTTATTTGTTATATCTTAAATAATTGTTACAATGATGTGTGAGCATATCATTACAATATTTCCTACTTTCTGGTGGATTTTTCTAAACAAAAGTGGTCTTATGACCTCCAGCAGACTGTCAAGTATAACAATAAAAAATTTCAGCCAAATCGGTTCGTAGTTTTCTCGGTTAGCGCGTTCTAAGAAAACCATTACCATTTTATATAATATTGTATAATTTATAGCTTAATGTAAAAAAATAAAAAAATAAATAACATACATACTAATAAACTACCCCAACGGGATCCACCTTGATGTGGTGAGGGAGCTTGAGGGCCTTTAATTAGGTCTTAACAAATGGTCCCAACCTGACTGTGACCTTAACCCGTCGTCGGTATCGCTATATACTGTTACATGATGGGTATCGTGTTAGCGTTACGCTAACATTATCGTTTTTTCGGTTCTGTGAATTATTTATTGAAAAAAAAAGATAGGTATTATATAAAAATTAAACAAATCACTTTTTTTGTATCAAAATCTATTAAAATAAAAATAATTTTAAAAATTTAACTCATCGTTTGAATTTTCCGAGTTTTCTCGGAAAAAACTTATAAAAAATAAAAAAAACATCATTTTTGGTAGAAAAAAAAAGATATTATATAAAAATTAAACAAATCACTTTTTTGTAACAAAATCTATTAAAATAAAAACAATTTTAAAATTATAACTCATCGTTAGAATTTTCCGAGTTTTCTTTCACGGTGTTGCATGTCGGACAAGTAGGAGTAGTATGTTCTTTACATATATACACACCACATAACGAACAACTGACCTGTAAAATATAATATAAAAATAATATAATGTATAAATAACCAATAAATATCTTTATAATGGTACCTTTGTAAAGCGATTTTTTCTGATTGGACAAAAATTACATCTGATTCGTTGATCACTTGTCGAAACATCTGGATTCGGACTTTCTTTATTATTTTTTGAAGTACATCCAGTCATTTTTATTATTTGTTGTCGAAGAATAAATGATAAACATGGCTGTTCAAGACGTTTTACCATGTAAGGTTTAGTGAGCTCTTGTCCCAAAGTTTTCAAATATTCTCGACGAGTTATCATTTTATCTGTATTTTCGCGATATATAATTTGACTGTTTATCCCAGCAATATTCATCAATGAAAAAAAAATAGTTAGGGGCCATCGACAACTAATTCTTGCCACCGAGTACTCGCCTTTCATTTCGTCTACTACATCCACTCCACCTTTAGTACCATTATAGTACGTTATGACTTCTGGTTTTTTTTGGTCACCGGATTCCGGGTCAATGATACCTTGATCATGCATACTTGATATCATAATGACATTTTTATTTTTGTTTGGAGTATAGGATGTAAGTAAAAGGTCTTTTCCATATCCAAACAAAGTCGAATTTACTTCTCTTTTTTTAGTTTCTAAAAAAACCGGTGGAATTTCCCTTTTGTTTTTTCTCAAAGTGCCCACTACGGTAAGATTATGATTTTTTAGTAACTCATTAGCCAATGGAATTGAATTGTACCAATTGTCCATTGTAATATTGCGGCCAGTTTTTGATATCGGCGCTAATATTAGTCGTTTTACAATACTTGACGGAGAATTGTCACATTTGAAAGGGCCATCTGGCTGAGTTCCTACGTAAACCTCCATATTAGACGTATAAAATGTACGAGAATCAACGAGTGCTTGAATTTTGATACCGTATTTATTTGGCTTATTTGGTATATATTGTCGAAATTGTCGGATGGAGTCAAAGTTTAAAGAGCCGCCTTTACCTTAACTGGCATGAGTTGGAAGATTGGAGGTAAACTCCTAATGACGATGAGACCGACGATGATACTGAGACTAATGATGATGATGAAGATGACCGATATACACAGCAGATCTCCAGACCGGATATGGACATATATAATTCAGTCAAGTTCTCAGGTCAGTCCATTTCTTATGTATCAGTCCCACTTTCAGGTAAGCCAGCTCGCATGTTTCAGTCGGACTCTAGGGTCGGTCCATTTCTTATGTATCAGTCCCGCATTCACGTAAGCCAGCTCTCATATTTCAGTCCGACTCAGGTCAGTCTAGCTTTCATGGATCAGTCCCGCTTTCAGAACAGTCTAGCTCTCATGCATCAGTACCGCTTCAGGTCAGTTTAGCTCTCGTGTATAAGTCCCGCTTTAGGTCAGTCTAGCTGTCATGTATCTGTCCAGCTTTCAGGTGAGCCAGCTCGCATGTATCAGTCCCTCTTTCAGGTCAGTCTATCTCTCATGAATCAGTCCCACTTTCAGATCAGTCTAGCTCTCATGCATCAGTACCGCTTCAGGTCAGTCTAGCTGTCATGTATCAGTCCCGCTTCCAGGTAAGCCAGCTCACATGTTTCAGTCCGACTCTCAGGTCAGTATAGCTCTCAAGGATCAGTCCCGCTTTCAGGTAAGCCAGCTCGCATGTAGCAGTCCGACTCTCAGGTCAGTATAGCTCTCATGGAACAGTCCCACTATCAGGTCAGTCCAGTTCTCATGTATCAGTCCCGCTTTCTGGTCAGTCCAGTTCTCATGTTTCAGTCCGACTCTCAGATCAGTATAGCTCTCATGGATCAGTCCCACTTCAGGTCAGTCTGGATTTCATGTATCAGTCCCACTTTCAGGTAACCAGCTGGCATGTTTCAATCCGACTCTCAGGTCAGTCCATTTCTTATTTATCAGTCCGCTTTCAGGTTAGTCCAGCTCTCATGT